ATTTATTTCTACACAAGTTATTATAAAATGACTCTGAATCGCAATGAATTACTGAGAATCAATTTAAATCACTGCGAATCAATGTGAATCTTTGCGAATAAATGTGAATCACTGCGAATCAATGTGAATCACTACGAATCAATGTGAATCACTGCTACTTATGGCGATTAGTGTTAAGCAGAGAGTAGAAACGCTTTTCGATACACATTTATTCTGGAATCATCAAACTAAAGTATGGATTGTTAAATAAACTTATTTATAACAGAAATCACTTGAAATAGCTAGTATTTTTTTGAAATCACTAAATAACTATTGAGGTGATTCGAGAGTGAACGGCCCCTCGGTTTTTTTGTTATAGCACTCACATTTTCAAGAACATCAAGTCTGTATATATATCCATGGACAGGTGTGACTCTATACTGCAAATTTAACTTATACAGTTACAGAACAGATATTGGAAAAAAAGTTATTGCCGATTTACGATAATGTCTCGCGACTACCGACATAAAAAATCGTCCGTAGTGACGAGACACTATCTTAAAATCAGAGTCTTTATCGTTCAAACGTAACAAAAACAAAGGAATCAAAGAGAAAGAGTATAATAATTGATGCCTTTAAATCATAATATTGTTTTATTCAATCATAAAAATACAGGCAAATATTTTTCTGATTGTGAGCCGCTAATCCATGTCACAGTTATTAAAAACAAATAAGCTTTTCTTCCTGTTCATCTTTTTCAATTTAAACTATAGTTATGAAAAATATTGTCGACAAAACGTACAAAAATTATATCAAATTCATTAGGACATGTACAATATTATTAGATATAAAAAAGCCACTGCCGACAACAAGTGTCTCGCCAATGCGGAAACAGCATTTTTCGGTAATGGCGATGTACAATCCTATGCATCGAACAATAATTCATAGTGCTCTGGAAATTTTGAAGGAAACTTAAATACTAAAGACTCAAAACATTTAACCCTTCAGAAAATTCCGGAAATTTTTATATATTATCACTTATACCGATGGGAAATAAAACTTTTAAAATATCTTGAAACTGTTATTAACAGTATAGCGATATTTCGTACATCAAAAACGTATGTATCATATGGAAAAGTTAAAGCACAATAAAACTTGACATTCAGACCAGAAGTGCCAGCACAGTCAGTTCAGCTGTCTGAAATATCCTAATGTCTCGCCACACCGGCTGTCTCGCCACTGCGGACAACGCCTTACATTTATATGTGTATTTTTATATTTATTTATATTTATATAGTTGTATAGGGGAGCGTGACAAACAATGAGACAGTTTATGCAGTAGGACACTTTAATTTTCTGAAAAACTACTTAAAGAAACTCGACCAAAATTTAAATGTAAACCATGTTTATGACATCACACTATCTCCAAAAATTATAGACACATTGATTCATTATTTACAAAGAAAATTGAAAAAAAACTGTTTTTGACGTACCAGAGTAAATTTTTTCTTGAAATACAATGCTGACTTTTATATAGATAGGACAGTTTTAAAAAAAAGTGTAATTGTTACTTCGTTTACTTATGTTTTTAAGTATAATATCCAATAATTTAAAATATTTTAAAATTTCACAAACAATTTTTATTTAAATAATTTGTTGCGATTGTTTAATTTAAACAGTGGGACATTCAACACTGGGACAGGCAAAAATTTAAGTTTATGAAACGTGGATTTTGGTAACAACGATTATAAGTAGTGTCAGCTATACGCATGCGCATTTATACTTACACAGCGACAAAAATTTGATTTTTTTATGCTAAAAAACAATAAAAAATTCAAAATTTATAATTAATAATTATTACAATTATTGTTCGACAACATTTAAAAAGTAACACTTAATAAGAGAACGACTATTCAAATTTTGCTCCAAATTGTTTTTAGGTTATGATCAAATTATGACGTATGATCAGCAGTACTGTAAACGTGAAAAAAATAGCAATTTTTTATATGAAACTTGACATCGTATTATAAAAATATAAAATATTATTAAATTATGAGTGTTTTGTAACATTTGTTAACGTTATTTAATGCAAAAAATATATGTTTACAAAGTATAAAGCAGAATATTATTATTGAAATAATTATTCGGTTCTTAATAATAGGTGTCCCACTGTTAAACACAAACCTTCAAAACAAGAAAAATGTATCAAGTTTCAAAAACTTCAAATTTTTTTATTTAATCACAATATAATCTTAATAGAATATGCGCATTGTATAGAAAAGAGTTCAAACTTTATGATAGGTAATACCAAAAAGTGTTCAAAAATATATAAAATTGACATATTAATTTGTCTTTGAAAGAAAAGTGTCCCACTGTTTGTCACTCTCCCCTATATATAAAAGCATACATTGTGCGGCGCGAAGAGTAAGCTCCGACCCGGCTGAAAAAACTTGTACAATAATATGTACAAGTTCTTGTATATGATCATTAATGAACTTGTACATTTTCTTGTACATGTTCTTATACCAGAATTTTTACAAGATCCTGGACGACCTGGACAAGAAAATATACTTGTACAAGAAAATGTACATGTTCTTGTAGATTTTTTTTAGTGTAGGTTTCATGTACATTTTCTTGTACCAGATGTGGAACATGTTCTTGTACATGTTCACTTATGTTTTTTAAATTAAAAATGAAAAACTTTAAAGGCTGCGCAGTAGTTTTCTTATGCCTTTACAGCTGCGCAATGATTTTTAGCATTCATAAGAGAAAAGTCTTAATAATTATAAATTATTAAAACATTTTTAAACAAATGTTCTTGTACAAGAACATAAAGGTGTTCATGTAAAAGTACTTGTACAAGTTCTAATACAAGAACATGTCTCAATTCCGGATGCTGAACTTGTTCAAGAACATTACTTGAACATGTACAAGAAATTGTACAAGTTCATTAATGAACATGTACGAGAACTTGTACATTTTCTTGTACAAGTTTTTTCAACCGGGGAAAGCGCTTGACTTTTACATTGAGCCCCGTTTTTTGATATGAGGAGCCGGATCGTGTAACTCGATTTGCGCTCGGGCCGGTCGCTCTGGAGCCAGTCAAGACGGTCAGAACAGATAAAAAATAAAATTCGGAATTTTCAATTTTGAAAATTACTGCCATATAGAGAATAAAAATGCGCATCTTTTTCGTTAATGAAATTTTTTTGTAGGATTATTATTTTTAATAATAATGGAAAAAAACTGCAAATTTTTTATTCTCGAATTTAATTAATTTTCAAAACATAAATCGTCACTGCTCGTACAAATCTTAGTGAAATTAATGGAAAATTGGTATACTTACGTATTTGGGTCTTCCAAAGACGATAAAAACATTTTAAAAAATTCATTGAAAAATTATTTGTTAATGTAAATAGAGACCTGTCGGTAAATACGTTTTCTCAACTTCGACGAGAAAAAGTATGCGGAGAACTTTCGAGTTAACAAAACTTCCAGTGAGACATTTGTTTATTAATATATAATGAAGTTTTTTGGAAATTTTCGTGCCGTTTCATGAACAACTTTAGAAGATATAAACATTTTCCGAAAATGGAATTTGCGCGTCAGCACCATCGCCACAGCAGACTTCGCAGTGAAAACTGATGCGATGGTGCTGACGCGCAAATTCCATTTTCGGAAAATGTTTATATTTTCTAAAGTAAACGTATTTACCGACAGGTCTCTAATTGCCTTCATAATAGTTTTTTTCCATTATTATTAAAAATAATAATCCTACAAAAAAATTTCATTAACGAAAAAGATGCGCATTTTTATTCTCTATATGGCAGTAATTTTCAAAATTGAAAATTCCGAATTTTATTTTTTATCTGTTCTGACCGTCTTGACTGGCTCCAGAGCGACCGGCCCGAGCGCAAATCGAGTTAAATCATTTTTTTGAAGAAAGATGTGGTACTAACCCCTTAAACTAACGATTTATACAATAAAAACAAGGAGGGGGTCGGGAGGGACCTTTATGTTTATTTCATAAACATTTTGCTTCCTCATTGTGTGAGCAAAAAATTTGTTTCCTCGTGGAGGAAGCTATGAATTTCTCTAATTCAATTAATTGATTTAAAACATTTCTAGTTAAAAACTAATTTAAATTCATTATATTTTTTGAAAAATTAAGAAAATTGTAATTCATTTTGGGTGTAACATATACTTTATATATATATATACGAATCGATTCGTTTCAATGCAAGGAATTCAATTATTTTATGTATTAACTTGAAATTAAAAAAAACAAAATTTTTCAGCTAAAATATGAATTTTTGATTTTTCAATTTTTATTAATTTTTAAAATTTAAATCAAATCTGTATTTTATATATACATATCAATTCGTTTTCATGCAGGGAGTAAAATTATTTCATATATAAACTTGAATTTTAATAAACACAACATTTTTAAGATAAAATGTGAATTTTTTATTTTTTAACTTTCATTAATTCTTTAAATTTCAATCAAATCTATACTTTATATATACTAATCAATTCGTCTTGACGTATAGAAGACGATTATATTATATATTACCTTAAGATTATCTATTTAAAAAATTTTCCAATTAAAAAAATTTTTTTGGAAAAAGACGATAAAATTTTTTTTGGGGGTATTTTTAAAAATCCTCTTGTCATTTTTGAGAGATTAATGTGATAAATAAGCCTACCAAATTTTACCCAAATCCATTAAAACCTGTAACAGATATCGTGTTCACAAAAACGATCCATACACACATACATCCGAAAAATGGATCAGAATCTCATATAACATGTTTCTGTATAGAGAAAAATTTGTTATCACCATTTTTAAAAATTTAATAAACGAAAAGACTACAAAGCTTCCTCCATGAGGAAGCAAAAATCGATTTTTTCAACCCCCTAATGTGGTTTCCCCAATAAGGTGACAATTTTGATAATATTGATAATAATTGTACATGATATTACCGGAAAAATTAATTTGTTTTAACATCTTTATTTTACAGAAGAATTAGCGAAAGGGATATATTTTTATTGTCCTATGGGAGTCACTGTCTTAACTAATATATGTCTGTTTATTTCAACGTCCATAAAAATTTCAAAGCACAAAAAGGATACAACATGTCACTTGAAAAGTAGCGAAAGTAGGAGACATGATGACAGCAAACAATGGTAAATATTTGTAATAAATTACATACATAATATGAAGTCATACTTTTTTAGTTACATTGCTATTATGAAGGCAATAACTATTATTATAAGCTTATAGCCCAGACAGCACAAAAACATGCAACAACCTTGCAGCATTATAAAAATTGCAAGTTTCCGAGCTTGCGCGGCAAGCTTCTAGCCAGATTGCCTCCAGTAACAAAATGTCCCACATTAGCAAGCTTGCAATGAAAGGTTGCTGCAAACTGTTAAAAAATGTTGCCGCAATCTTCCAATGAAAGGTTGCTGCAAGCTTTCTAAAAAAAATATTGCCGCAATCTTTCAATGAAAGATTGTTGCAACCTTGCAGTGAAAGCTTAATGTAAGCTTGTAATGAAAGGTTAATATGTGGTTATCACAAGCTTACAATATGCTTGCAGCAATCTTTCATTGCAAGATTGCGGCAACATTTATATATACATATATATATATTAAAACGTTTTAGCCTATTTTTATTATTATTAAAATTTATTAAGTCTTAATAATTGGATAATAATAATTATTATAAATTGAATTATACTAGCAAAATGTTATCTACACTTTGAGGTTAATTTTGAATTATATCAATTTTATAAGAGAATAATTTATTAGCGCCAGAATATTTTATAAAAAAAAAATATATAAAAGTTAATTATTTATTTATTTTAAATATTTACCAGACTAGTTCAGAAAAATGTTAGGAAAACTTCCTAGCAAACCGCGGAGAGGGGGAGGTAAGGAGAAAAACACATTAATTATTTCACTGAATTTAATTTAATTGTAATATTTATTTAAGTTCAAGATTCAATTTTATTATTAATTTATTACTTCTTTTTTTTAAATGACATATAACAAGTTTACTTAATGTATTCGGCCTATGGCACAACTTATAAGCATTATTCCGCTTGCCATGCGGTGAGCAAACATCACTTAATTATTTTCAAAACTTTATTTTTTATTTTATGCCAATCTGGCGAGAAATGGAAATTATAAGTCACTGGGACTCACCGTTAATTCGACGCCGTCCCCGCATTGCGCCTCGTCCAGACATGGTCAACTTGATATTTCTTTTTTTTACTTTTAAAAACTTTGGCGTGCTGCCTGATCCACCACCCAAGAAGCACGTAATATAACCTCAATATCAAGGTAATATTACATGTAAGATTCGTAATATAACGTTGTAATATTACAGTAATCTTACAGTGATCTTAAAATGTCCGCCTCAAGGTAATATTACCGGTAATGTTACTGTATTATTACGCGCTAATATTAAGGTAATATTAGAAGAGAATATTACAGTAATATTATGGGAACATTTCTTTACGAAAAAAATCTACCCATCCAGGGAATCGAACCCCGAACTCAAAGCACACGAGTCCAGAGTTTTACCAACAAGCCAAATTGACTTATAATATATTTACGTTTTTTATGCTTTATGAATAACTCAAATCAGTCTGTAATATTACTGTAATATTCCCGGTAATATTACCTTGAGGCGGATATTTTAAGATCACTGTAAGGTTACTGTAATATTACAGCGTTATATTACGAATCTCACGTGTAATATTACCTTGATATTGAGGATATATTACGTGCTTCTTGGGCATCAAAACGAGAATAATTAAATGGCTGAACTTTTACTCTAGTCGGCGTCACCTTTCACGCTTTCTTTTTGGTGGTGAGTCCCAGTGAAAGTAATTAATAACTTTCTATTTGTCGATAATCGATATATCACGCGTCGATAAATTTCATCGATGTCGCTGGTAAGGTAGATCGCAACTCTACCAGAGGGCGTAGTGGTGTCCTCTATTCAAAATGGTTGCCCCCATTATTGTGACAGGATCAAAACAATCAATATTCTTTTCGGCTTCCTGGTGCTCTTGAATATTCAGGAATCTCATCCAAATATGTGCACCAGGAAGTACTTCCCCTGCTGACTTCGTAATAGATGAGCGACCATGGATTTGGATAACATGAAAACATTTTTTGGAACGCGAGTATACAAATTTTATTTATCAAAATAATGCGAGAGTGATTCGACGAGTTCACAGGTTTAGTCTATTATTTTACTTTAATTTTATTATTACATTCAAATAATTATTTATTTTGTCTAATTTTTTATTTTATTTATTTTAGGAAAAAGGAATATTCCAATTTTGATGGGGTGATAAATTAAATAACTATTAATTATTGTGTGTGGCAAAATGCCACGTCACAATATATATATATATATATATATATATATATATGTATATCTACTCTTATACGTGTCCATGGTAGTAGATCGGTTAACGTTCTCGACTTGCGTGCGTAAAATCAGGTTTCGAATCCCCATACCCCCCAAGATTGCATCCAATAGGTGGCGCTCACTTCAGTCTGTGTTATTAACATTTTTTACCGAATGTTTTTCCGACCGACTTAGTTTACCCGATACCCAATAGGTGGCGCTCACCTTTATTATTAACTTTGTATTTTTAGATATTATTTTTTCTTAAGGCCATGTGGGCAAAGGACGTTTTTTTGTGGTTTGAAAGTTACTCTGAAATAAAAAATGATTTTGGGTTAAAATTTTGGAGAAATGATTTTGTTTGGTACAAAGAATCTCGCTGTTCTACTCATTTACCATAACTTAACGCAAAAATATTAAAAAAAAGCAATAAATAGTAAAATAATGTATTTAATCGTAGTTCATTCAGCTGCCACTCGCTCGAATTGGCGCTGTTTACTGGAGCACTAACACACTAAAGCAACGTCTGTGTATGCGCCGCCATCTTTGTTTTCATTTTCGTTTAAAAATGCCACTTTTTAAACATCATTTTTTAATAATTTTACTCAAAATTATGCATTTTTCGGAGAAAAGCGAGATTCTTTGTACCCTAATGTATCATCCCTCAAAATTTTAGACAAAAATCTTTTCTCATTTTAGAGTGAAATGTATACTACCAAAACACATTTTCCCATACTAAGTCACGTGGGAGGTTCCCACATGCCGTTAAAATAATTATTTTAAATTTATTTCCGTGCGACAGTGCTGCGCTCTTTACATCATGGTAAAATTCTCGCTCGGTCGATAGTTGGTAACTGGTCGACCGAGCGTGCGAGCTAGTTGTGTACGGTGCCGCGCAAGTAGTACCCCCACCCGGCGGCTGCGCGCCGCTCCGTGCCTGCGGTAGTTGTGGGGTACTGCCTTTAAGAGTCGGACTGCTCTCGTGGATCCACATAATCTGTTCTAGATGAGTCACCAGGGCAGTCGCAAAATGGAAGGATGTTATTGCTGGCAGTGTATTGAGGAGCAATTGAGAAATGTAAGTACATAATAATTACTCATTAAATATAATATTATATTATATATTATAATATAATATATAATATAAAATATAATATATTTTCCCACAATGATGAAATGAAGCAATTAAAAGAAATATCTAAAAGCCTGACAAATTTTCCAAGTGTAACACTTCAAATCTCAAAAGTTATAAAAAAGGCAATTCTAGGCAACGATAATTATTCATATTATTATATTAAGACTTTTATTTCTAAATTTAAACCTTAAATTTTTTTATAATTAATAATTATAAACTAAAGAAAACATAATAATAATAAAGATAAAAAGGAGACATTTATTTCCAATTTCTATCTTTACAAAAAATCAAGAAAATAATTCAACTTTATCCAATAATAATAAACTATTTACTTTTCTTTTTTATATTAATAATTAAATATTTATTGCATTTATATTTATTATCTTTTTCATAGGATTAAAAGTTTCTATTAGACATTGTCTAAAATGGGAAAAAAAATTTAATTAAAAAAATTTTGAAGATATAACCTCGAAAATAGAATTTTTGTTCTCACGCAAGGGTTAACTAAAAAATGTATACGGCATTTTTTGTGAGTTAAAGAGTTTTTCAAGAAATGAAAATTTAAATCAATTTAATTAAAAAATTATTAATTAATTTAATTAAAAAAATTTATCAATTTTTAAATTTAGGTTGGTAAATAATATCCTAATTTTAAATCTTATGCAATTATTATTTTTATTCTTGCAATAAGATTAATTTTCTTAATTTTTATTTATTAAATTAAATTAAAAAAATTTATTTCCTTTCTAAATTATTTTAACATTAAACTAGATAATTTATTTTTAAAGTTGTTATTTATTAAATTAATAAGTTATTTACAATATTAAAGTATAATTTTTTTCGTCACTAGTTAATTATTTTATTTGAAACTAACAGTTGGCAAACATAAAGTTAGAGAATTGATTCCACCTTCATATTGTATTTGTTTGCTACGTAGATAAAATATTTTAGGAAATTGACATGAATTCTATGTCAATGTCCTTGTCTAGAGGGGTTATGTTTATATTTTCTTCTAAATTACCATCTTGCAGTTTAAGCTTTGAAGAAATTGTCAACGGTAATTTATTTTGGTCATGATTTGGAACAAATTTAACTAAAAATATGTAAGTTTTTAATTCTAAATAACGAAAAGCGCTACATAGCGACTGGCGCTATTAGTAATCCCACTGCTGGAATAATATCTTCGACAAAGTGCAACATACTTTCATGATATGCATGTAGTAATTGATTCATTATTGATTCATTGTTGATTTAACATTAAATAACGTAAAATTACAACGTGCATATCATGAAAGTATGTTGCACTCTGTGTAAGATCTTATTCCAGGACTAGAGATCTACAATAATGTTTAAAATATATTTTATTAAACATTTACATTATAGAGAGTATTAAATTCACTTTGTGATAATTGTTTCAAATTATTTCTACTTGTTTCAATTTTGAGATTAATATTTAAATTTGGCATTGTCAATGTTTATTATTAGAATAAATTTTGATTTAAGTTGTAAATTTGCTTTCTCTTCCCAAGTATTGTGACAGTTATCAAAGCCAAGCCATTTGACGAGAACTTTATTTCCACGTGTCTTGAGAATTTTTTCAACCAGATAAATATCTGGATATTT